CCCTCTCCCCAGGCCCAGGCTGGCGGCTCCCGGGAGCTTGCCCAGGACCGCAAGAAGTGGGCACCTTCCTGGGCTAGTGCAGACATAATGGACCTTGTCCACGATCTCTGCACTAGGCACAGGAAAGTGGCCGTCTAGGGCAGGAGAGCTGCCAGCCTGGCCACCCAGGAGCAGGTGTGCATGAAAATCAAGGGGGTCCACTGAGACCCCCGACCCTGAGCCCTGAGCTTACAATGGCCGTACTGGGTCAGACCAAAGGTCCATCTAGCCCAGTAGCCTGTCTGCCGACAGCGGCCAACCCTAGGGACCCTGGAGGGGATGGACCGAAGACAGTGTCCAAGCCATTTGTCTCGTGCCATCCCTCTCCAGCCTTCCACAAACTTTGGGCAGGGACACCACTCCTACCCTCTGGCTAATAGGACTCCATGGACCCAACCTCCATGACTTGATCTCACTTCCCTTTAAACTCTGTTCTAGTTGTAGCCTTCACAGCCTCCTGCAGCAAGGAGTTCCACAGGTTAACTATTTGCTTTGGGAAGAAGAACAACTTTCTCTTACTAGTTTGAAGCCTGCTACCCATTCCTTTCCTTTGGTGTCCTCTAGTCCTTCTTTATGGGAACTCATGAAGAACTTTTCTGAATGCACCCTCTCCACCCAACCCCTGCTTTTAGAGACCTCTATCCTGTCCCCCCTCCGTCTCCTCTTTTCTAAGCTGAACAGTCCCAGTCTCTGTAGCCTTTCTTCATCTGGGACCTGTTCCCAACCCCTGATCATGTTAGTTGCCCTCCCCTCTCCCAGCCTTTCTCTTCCCCTCTCCCACCTCCTTTTCCCAGTCTCCCCCAGTTTTGTTCAATAAAGACAGAGTCAATGTTGGAAGAAACGTTATCTTTATTTTGTACATCAGGAAGGGGGGCTAGGGAAGGGTAAGTGGAAGGAGGTGAGGGAGGGATGGGGTACGAGCCCCCGATGGGGAGGACTGGGGTGGCTCTGCGGGCTCCTCGGGGTGGAAACTCTCTTGCAGCCCCCCGATTGACCCCGCCCTCCCCCCGGAGAGCAGCCTGCGGCAAGTGCAGCTGGGCTGATGGCCAAGTGCTGTGATGTGCCGACTGTGGGCCCTCAGGGCACTCCAAGACAGGACTGCTTTCCTGTCCCTCATTGAGTTAGACAAGCAAGCAGGGAACCCTGAGAACTGTCTGTCCGGGGTGGGGGTTGGGTCCCTTTAAGCACAGCCTTCGACTAGCCTGAGACAGCAGCTCCACGCTCTAATTCCTAACCTGATGCCCTGCCGGCACTGCTTCCGGCCAGCCTTAACTTTGGTTCAGGGTCCACTCAATGTGGACATGCTAGTTCGAATTAGCAACATGCTAATTCGAACTAGTTTTTAGGTCTAGATACACTAGTTCGAATTAGCTTAGTTCGAATTAACTAATTCGAATTAAGTTAATTCGAATTAGTGCTATAGTGTAGACATACCCATATGGAATAGAGCAGTGGTTTTCAAACTACAGGTCGTGACCTAGTACTGGGTCATGGAATGTCAGGCACTGGGTCTTGTTGCTGCAGGGTGATCAGGTGACCAGTGGGGGGGGGGGGGGCGTTAAGGCAGTTATATTCCTGTCCTGGCACCACAGACTGCACTGACCCCCAGAAGCGGCCTCCAACAGGTCCGTTTCCTAGGTGTTGGGGGGAAGAGAATGCACAGGGCTCTGTGCACTAGCTCTGCATTACCGTTGGCTGGGTATTTGCTGCTGTCTGCTTCTGTGGTGCAGCATGATCTATTTCCAGAAGAGACAGGAAGCCTCTGACCGGGAGCTGCTGAGGCTAAGCCCTTCCTGCCCTAGCCCGGACCCCCTGCAAAACTTGAGCCCCCTCCTACATGTCAAAGCTCTTATCCTCAGAGTCCACAGGGTCATGAGAAAAAAAAAGTTTGAAAACCACTGGATTAGAGTGTGGTGATGTTTTGAGTGTCTGCATGCACAATCAAACAACATAATGCTTTCCCAAAAATTTAACTTAGCATGTATTCTTTCTTTCTTACTAATTTCTTATTCAGATCAAACTGTCTTGTTTTCAGCATTAGCTTGGCATGAGAATGGAAAGTTTAATTAGCATTCTTATCAGTGAAAAACTACAGCCCTTTTTTGAGTTTACTATCATAAGAATAAAATGCTCAACCAAATATACACCCAGATAATATTTCGGAAGTGACACTTGATTTGCAAAATCATAGACAAGGAGATATGAGAGGGAAAGTTATGTGCTGGTTTCAGGATGACTCCATGACACTAGTTTATTGTGCTAGGTATTCCATCTCTAATACCTTTTGTAGAGGACATGCACCAGGACTTGCTTATATCCACTCAGTTGTAAATCTCAAAATAATTAATGTAATTTTTGAATTTCCCTTCAATGTAACAAAATAATTGATAGTACTTATAAATGATGTTTATGCAGTCATAAAGAGGTGTGCTTTGCACTGAAGTCAGCAAAAATTTAGGTTTGTTCTAATCCTTATTTATCTTCCACTGTTCCAAGTAAGGATGAGGACTCTTGTTTATAGAGAGATACTTCTGAATCTCTTTGCTTCCTTAGGGTTTTCCTAGTGTATAGTAAAATCCACTTTTTACTGTGACTTCTTATTTTTAATAGGCCTTTCACACCTTTTGAATATGAATCTTACACTGCTGTTGAACTTAATGATCAGAAATGGTGTGTACTGTGTTCCACAGCTGCAAGATCTCGATCACTCTATGTGTGTGGATTTCCCATGCCTGTTATTCCCATGCCTGTCTCTGTAGTTCTGATTAATTCAGAAGGTACCTGAATGGAATTTCCAGAAACCCCCGTTATCCTTAAAACTGAAGAATGTCCATTTAGAATGTATAAATCTTGTATTTGTAATCACTGCAGTGCTGCATATGATGCTGTCCTTGACAGAAATGTGGCTATTAAGAAGCTCAGCCGACCATTTCAGAATCAAACACATGCCAAACGAGCTTACAGGGAGCTGGTCCTCATGAAGTGTGTGAATCATAAAAATGTAAGTTTTCTTATGGGGATCGGGGGTGTTGTATGGTTGATTTGTTAGAGGGAAAGTCACATCCTTTCATGCAGTAATGAGATACTTTAACTTATGACTTCTGCTGTTTTAAGGGCTAGCTTCTGACCCATACTACACACTGTAAGAACCCTATAAGGGCTACCCTAACTTTGGCCCTGACACATAGGAGTAAGCATGGCTACTTCCATCCTTGCTCCTTCTCCAAAGGAGGTGGGCAAAAAATAGATGGAGCTTTGGCTTCATCCTCTGTTTGCTGGTATTGGCCAGAAGTAAATTACTACCCTTCCAGGAACAAAACATGGAGGAAGCAAAAAAGGGAGTGGGATTCACTGGTGCATCTTTTAATCATGCTGACTTCCAGGAGCTACTTCTGTGGAGGTGCAGTGAGCACACACCCCTTGCTCAGTGCTCTACATGAAGTCACAATCTAGCCCCTATATTAGCGTATTTGGTTGTGATGCCATTATGAAGTTTCTCTTTATTGATACTCCTGTAAAGAGCCTATGGATCACAATGGGAATCTGATATGTATTTCTTCTATCATGTGAGAAGCTATTACTGATTACTCTATTACTAACCCTTAGGATAGTTCGTACTAATGCTGTGTAACCAGAATCTCTGAAGCAAGATGATACTTATTTTTATTAACATGAAGAAATGAACAAAGACAAAAAAAATCTGCTGTCATTCTTAATTCTTCTTACTTCCCCTTGCCTTGTGTATAATCATTTTATTTTGCATTGTAAGAAATAGCCATCATAAAGATGTACACATGCAGTTCCCACATCTGTATTCAGTGATTGGAATAATACGTTTGATACAGTGCCGTGTGGCTTGTGGTTATGGGAGGTATGGGTACCCTATCACAGTGTTTCTGAAAGTGTACCACTGAAACACTCTCAGAAACACTGTAACTGGCTGCCCCTGTTTATTTATGTACCGGCACCATGTCCATGGAGCCTTGTGGCTCCCATTGGCTCCGTTTCATCCTTTGCAGCCAAGAGGAGCCACTTATACCCACATATCTATACAAGTGAATTTATTACTGGAGCCAACAATATAAGCTACCCCCGATTTTTTTCTTCTTCCCACCCTCCTGCCACTCCCTTCTCCCCTATTTATTTTAGTTCTGGACATCCAACACTCTGGTCATCTGAAGAAATGGGCTGTATCCATGAAAACTCATGATACCAGCTACATGTTTTGTTAGTCTTTAAAGTGCTGCCAGACAATTAATTTCAATCTACCTGGTTACACTTTAAAAGATCTCCAAGTGGCTGTCTTGTTACAGACCAATTTTACAAGCCAAATACACAGAGAAGGGTTGCAATTACAATTCAGCCACAAATTTAATTCTCACACCTATGGCCTCAATAGAGATAATGGATGGCTGGGACATTATCAACCAAACAAACAATGAAGGTGCCAACAGCTCTTTGTCTGTGTAGATTCTTATGTTAGTTCTTTCCTCTCTAATTGCTATCCTATGATCCTTATCTGCATATTTTAACTGTCCACTTTTTAGGTGCTTATAGATTACCAGTTTTGCCTGTTTGGTTTTCCCTTTGATATTTACATACCCTCTGCCTCTTGTTTTCCGCCCCTTTCCATTTTTTTCCTTCCCCCCTCTCCTTTCTCCCCTATTTGTTTTGGGTCTCAACGTCCTAAACTCAACACTCTGGTCATCTGAAGAAGTGGGCTATGCCCACGAAAGCTCATGATACCATCTACATATTTTGTTAGTCTATAAAGTGCCACCAGACTATTTGTTGTTTTTTAAGTTTACAACTTCTGTTGTTCACAGATGCTTAAAAATCCCTACCCTCCTAAGTGGCAGTGTGAATGGCTTGTCTGCAGGGATATTTATCACCTGCAAGGAGGTTTACAGGATCTGTTGAAAAAGGCTTTCTTTCTCGACAGATCCCTCCTCTAGACTGCTGCTTTTTGCCAACAAAGGGCTGAGTCGACAAAACTCAGTGGCCATTTTTATGCAAATTAGGCATGGGATATTTAAATCCCTGCCTCATTTGCAATGTCAACCTGCCTAATCTGCATCCCTCTGCCAACAGAGGGATGCAGTCTAGACATACCCCAGGAGTGCTCTCCTGTCAACAGCACAAACCCTGGTCATGGGGATAGAAGTATTTTGTCTGCAAATGTACCCACAAACAGCATTTACATTGCCAGATTTTTAACAGCATAGTTGTATAGACAAAGTCTGAGATTCTCCCATTCTGAGGCAAAATGCAGGACAATGTAGCACTTTAAAGACTAACAAGATGGTTTATTAGATGATGAGCTTTCGTGGGCCAGACCCACTTCCTCAGATCAAATAGTGGAAGAAAATAGTCACAACCATATATACCAAAGGATACAATTAAAAAAATGAACACATATGAAAAGGACAAATCACATTTCAGAACAAGAGGGGGATGCAGGGAGGGGGGGAAGGAAGGAAGGTAAGTGTCTGTGAATTGATGATATTAGAGGTGGGGAGAGTGGGATGTTTGTGAGTTAATGGTATTAGAGGTGAGATATGTGTTAGAGGAAGACATCTGGGAATTAGATTATTGTAATGAAAGATCATCTGTCTCAAAAAAATGAAGGAATGTCCCCAGAATAGAAAGCCATGTGTTAGTGTTTGTGTTCTTCCCTCAGACATAGCCTTAATATATCAATAATGGCCAGTGACTGTCCCGGAACTGACACATTTGTTTGAATTGAGACTGAAATTTGAACCAGCAACTCCAGAATTCACAAGACTAATTCCGTTAGCATTGTGGCTAGTGGCTGTTCATCACCAACTGCTCTCACACACCCCTTCAAGTGCTTCCTGAAAAATAATGGGGCTTTGAAAAATTGTTTTAAAATTTGCCAGCTGCTCACGAGCAACTGTAGTAGTACCTGCCAGTGCAAACTGAACAGTGAAAAACAGACGATACTATGTAATACAGAAGTCCTTCAAAATGTGATCAACTGTATATGTTTATCTTCTACCTCACCCTTTCTTACTCTGCTTTTCAGATTATCAGTTTATTAAATGTCTTCACACCACAGAAATCTCTGGAGGAATTCCAGGATGTGTAAGTAACAAAGGCAGTAATTAACCTAAAGCTTTACAGGGAGATGGGTCCTGATGCTATATAGTGAAGATAAAAATCCCAGACTAATAAAATGGATGAGTTCTTTTAGAGAATTTATCTTGTGGAGATGAAGCTTTAGATTTGAAAATGTAGACTATCTGCCAGTCTATTTTAGGCATTTATAAGGCACCAATTACCTTGTATCTAAGTGCTGGAATAGAACATTTGTGCAAAGCATACTAATAGCTGTTCTTCAGACAGATAGGGTTGAGGATTGTGAGCATTTGTAAGGAAATGTACTTTGTTCCTTGGTTATTGGTTTGCTCAGGAAATGTTGATGGATAAACTCCCTGGTATATGTGGGAGTGCATTAAAATGTGGTGATTCACTATGAAATAATTTCCTTCTAAAAGGAATATTTTTCCCTTTCATATTTATTGTGGGATAATCTTTGTGTAAAATTTTCTACCTTGGGAAATAGTGGCAAAGTGTGGAGAATTAACAGAAGCTCCACTGAACAACAGCATGGACAACACTGCCTTACTTTCAGATAGTCATAAGTGTTGCTGTTTTGTCAGCTAAATTGCTTCTGCCTCTCAGTCTGTATGTCCTTGTTTCATATTGCAATATCAATACTCACAAAAAGGTTAATAGCTTTGATTGGAGTCAGGCAAGTACTGTCCACATGTCTGCACATTTTGCTGTTCCTTTGCAACAGTTTCATTGCTACAGTCTGGTGCAGAGTTGGTGATCTGATTATATGATTACAGATGAGTCTGAGTCGTAAAGCTCAGATATAAATCTAGGTCTAGAGTCTTCCCAAAATTTGAAGGAGTTCAGATCTGGTGTCTCAGGTTAGGTCCATATCTACTGAAGGACAGAGCTGGCCAGTTAAATGTGTTAACTAACCCTTTTGGAGGGCTGAGTTTAAAATCTGATTAAAACCATCACTCAGTCTTATTTAGCAAAAATACAGTGTACAGTGAAATTAGTTAATACGCATTAAAGTCTCATGAGATCACCTAATTTTATAAACACTTCAAACAAGTTTATTGTGGTAATATATTTACACCCTCCACCTCTTTCATCAGCCTGTTGATCTCTGGGAGCAATCTTCTGGTTCCATTGGGATCACCATTTCTCATAAGGATTAAAAGCCAAGAAAAGGTTTGCTGTTTGGTGCACATGGTCCTTTCATACTGATGTCAGTATGTTTGAATATCCTGCTGTCTTGTGTGCCCATGCTGAACACAGTCACTGTACTGTGGAATGTGCCAGGTAATCCTTGATATTTCAAGAATGCCAATGGGAAGTTCTTAGAATGGTGACAGTGTAGCAGGTGCAGGGAGAGACAAATCACAGAATGGGTTTTGTATTACTGCGTTCTATGCTGAGGCTCAGGTGAATGGCCAGTTCAAAATCTTTTCCCCATCTGTATTACCATTTCATAGTGGAAATAAAAAAGAAACAGATTGTGAAGAGAGAGAAGTAAATGTTGATGATTGTACAAAAGATACTGGAAGCTCCCAGGCTGTGCAGGCAATAACTGTATGACTTAACTCTCCTATCTAGTTACCTAGTAATGGAGTTGATGGATGCTAATTTATGCCAGGTGATTCAGATGGAATTAGACCATGAACGAATGTCTTATCTGCTCTACCAAATGCTGTGTGGGATCAAGCACCTTCACTCTGCAGGAATCATTCACAGGGTAAGGGGACTGCACTTTGCAAATTTTATGATTCAGCCCCTTCATCAATACCCTGTGTTCTCAATGTAAATATTGAGACTTATCTGTCATTAGCCTTCATCTCTGGCAATTTAGCTGCATGGTTGTATACAAGGAATGAGGACATTCATCACTTTAACAAACAAAAACAAGGGAATGAGCCATAGGCGGTGTACGACACCTAAGTGATTAAGATTATTGGGGAAGGTGGCAATAACTGAATTTTCTTCTTAAACTACTGCTGATTATATGCAGGCTGACAGCTTAATGTAGCCCAGAAATATTATAAACTGTTGTCCATTTACCGTTTGGTGGAATCCCACGCAGAACTGTCTAGTCACGTGTAAATGGTTCTCCTCATTGTTTTAATTTGCCTAAATGCATGAAAAGACTATAAAACATAAGTTAAGTGTGCCCCTAATATTGTTTTTCCATGTAAGCAATTGCTGTAGCTATCACAGAAATTAATGAGAAGACGGCCTATGCAATTGTTGGTAGTAGATTACGTAGTCTATATAATTGTGAACAAGGTGGGAGGTGGTCCAGCTGACTCTGAATACATGGGAAAATGTCTGAGACAACCTGTCTCTCAAGATGTGGCCCATACTATGAAAATAGCCTGGGAACCTGTGCTCAACCTCCCACCAGTAATTTTATGGCTCTTGAATGAAAGGAAGGAAAGACTGCTGACAAGATTTTCAGATTGAATGTTACTTCATAAAATACAAAGACTTTTGTTCCTAAAACATACTGGGCTACGCCTACACATGCATGATCTTGCGCAAGAACTCTTTTGCAAAGAGAGCATCTACACTGGCATGTGCATTTGCACTAGAGATGTGCTTTTGCGCAAGAGCATCCATGCCAGTGTAGACGCTCTCTTGTGCAAGAAAGCTCTGATGGCCATTTTAACCGTAGGGCTTTCTTGCGCAAGAAATTCACATTGCCTGTCTACACTGGCCTCTTGCGCAAGAACAGTTGCACAAGAGGGCTTATTCCTGAGCAGGAGCATCAGAGTTCTTGCGCAAGAAGCACTGATTTCATACATTAGAACATCAGTTACTTGCGCAAGAACTCGTGGCCAGTGTATAGAGGCTGTAATATGTTTGGCATTTATAGTTGCCATAGTGTACCAATTAAAGAATGCTTCAGGTTGTTTTTGTAAATAAAATACCCACATGGAGCTGCATATACAGTTTATGATGGTTCCAGCTATGGGAGCACATTGGGCATTGTCCTGCTCAGAATAAAGCATAAAATAAAATAAATATTTCATCATCTTGATTCTGTAAGTCTTTTAGAGGCATTAATTCAACAACAGAATACTTCCATTATCCAGAGGAAAATACTCCTGGGCCAGAAGGGACCAAGGTGGTCATCTACTTTGACCGCCTGTGTAACATAGGCTATAGAACTCCCCAAAATAATTACTTTTGAACTACAACTTATCTTTAACACATCGTGATATAAAAATTATCACTGATGTAGAATCCACCAGGATCAATATTATTTAAATGGTTAATGACCATCACTATTAAAAATGAATGCCTTTTTTCCAGTCAGAATTTAGCTAGCTTGAGCTTCTAGCCATTGAGTCTTGTTATATTTTTGTGCGCTAAATTGAGGAGCCTATTAAGTATTTATTGCTCATATAAGAACTTGATGTTCTGTGATCAACTCATCCCTCAGTCTTCTCTTTGTTAAGTGAAAGAGATTGAGTTCCTTCAGTAAGAGACATGTTTTCTAATGCTTTAATCATTCCTTGACTGCTCTGAAATTTCTCCAGTTTAGCAACATCCTTTTGATGGTAGCAAGCTGCATGAAGGCCCTGGACTGAACCAGTACAGTGCACATTCCAGTAGGGGTGCCAGATCAATAACAGGATTCAGAGACATGCTAAAAACTGTCTTCCATGAATTACTGCACATGCAAAGAGCAGCAAAGTGTTTAGAGATTCACCTGAAGTATTGATCCAGATTGCATCACCTTCCTAGATGGCAGACATGTCTGTTTTCATTTGTCTCTCTTGCAGGATTTAAAACCAAGTAATATTGTGGTAAAATCTGATTGCACATTGAAGATTCTGGATTTTGGACTGGCCAGAACTGCAGGCACCAGCTTCATGATGACTCCATATGTCGTCACACGATATTATAGAGCTCCGGAGGTCATCTTGGGAATGGGCTACAAGGAGAATGGTAGGGCTGTACCTCAATAGCAAAGACAATGTGACATGAAGGGCAAGGGCTACTTTTACAATTTATGGGCACTAGGAGAGGTAAAGAACATCTTGAATGTAAAAACCAAAGTCATGTTAGATCTGAATTTTTCATTATGATGATCAAACTGCAGTAACTCATTGTACTTGGGGGGGATGCAGTTTGCATTGAATTGAAACATGGTATTGCAGAGTAACAACAAATCCTTTGCCTCACTGAACAGCTAAAAAAGCCTTTTCTGACTAACATGTCTTCCAAAAATGCTGTTATGACCAAAAAACAATGTGGGAACCATTAGGGTTGATGAAATAATCTAAAGCCAGCTCTTGTGAATCTCAGACCTCTTCTAGTGAGGAGGAAAGAAGAAAAAGGGACCAAGCCAAATCTGGAATCCAAACATTCCTAGATATTTCAAGATCCAGATCCAGATTTGAATCTCCTGAATGGCTTCTCTCTGTATAATAGGCTGACCTAAAATCCCAGACTCTAATAACCCACTGCTAGAGTGTACAACATCTAGATCAGTTTGAGCTCATTTTTAGTGGAAAGAAAATGGAGGAAGAGAAGGAAATTGAACTATTTTTCTGTTGTTTTGCTTGCATGTACCCCCCTAGCAGTAGCTAGAGGGCTCTGCTGTGAAAAACCTACAGTGGTATGTATCTTTCTGTCCCTGGACAGGTTTTAGGTTTCAGGTTTCAGGTAGGGCTACCATATAACATAGGAGCCTATAAAAACAGCTCATTATACGAGGGCTAAAGGGAACACTTTATTGAATACATAGTTCTTGTTCTATAATATTATTCTAGACTATCACTAGATGGTAGGCAGTCCTGGTTGAAAAGAAGAATAGGAAATCTACTGTAGAAGCTTCCAGAGCAATCTCCCTGTTAGATGAAGAGATCTTTTCCATGACAAATGTAATGTGAAAGTAGAAGCTCAAAACTGCTTTATTTTAAGTTGGAGAATGCAGTAGAATGTGAAGTAAATAGCTGAGCATCCTTCAGCAGACAATGATATGGTTTGTTTTTTTAGGTGGATTTCTTTACTCAAGCAGTAATACAAGTGTGCTCACAACACATCCGTAAGCTATTTCATTACACAAATTGTTGGTAATATTAATGGATTCTCAAAGTGGGTTTTAATGCGGTAGTAATTAGGAGAAATGAACGTAAGTGCTAAATATGCTGCACCTTAGCATTATGATAAACTGAGTACCTCCAAAAATCTTAATTAGTATCAACATGCATGTTGTCATTCTCTAGCCCAGATATTTGGTTCTTTTTATTACCCTGCCCTCCCAAAAGAGCTCAGGCTTTGTGTGATTCTCTCAAAGAATGGGACTGTTAATGTGTTTGCTGTTGTATTTGTGGTTTCACGCTGATATGAATCTTGACAAAGTTTGGGGCACTTTTGTAATCAAGTGAAAGATTTGCTGAGGTGCTCAGAATGTGTGCAGTCCTCAACGGGGTTGATTGAGTGTCCTAGAAGTTAATAGAGAGATCCCCATTCATGGGCAATGGATCAGGTTCAAAGTGAGTAAGGAGCTTTTCTCTTTCAGTTGAACAAGCTAAAATAGGTAAACATTTTACATTTGGAAAATATTGAATAAAGAAAATACAGATCAGCAAATCTGAGGAGCACTAGGGCCCTGAAGTCAGTGGTGGGAAAAATTGTTCTCTGCCCTGCTGCTCAGGCCTTTGCTGAGAGACCATGGGAGCCCTTTTCCTCCCCACTTTGTATGCTGACTATGAAGATTGTTCACTGCTTTCATTTTCTCTCTGCACCTAGTTGGCACCATTTTGTTACACTTTCCTTGGAAGGTACGAAAACTACCACAAAGATGAAAACTCTAACCCTATCTCAGGCATGCTTTAGCTGTTCTGTGCACCCACTTACCTCTACCCTCCTTTCCCAGGTTAAACACTTCACCCTTGTTTTGTTTTACCAACAAGAATAAAACATTTTGGTTGGTTTGATTTTTTATTTCCTTTTAAAAAGGAGTAAATGGGAGAAGAAAAAGAGGAGAAACTGGTTTTATAGACCAAAAACTTATCATAAAACAATGATTCAAATGTGGGAAAATATGATAGTTTCTTGAAAATTATTTTTTCTTCACTATTTGGAGTGCTGATCCCCTTTTCTTTCTGTGAATGGTTTATGAACAAGTATCTGTCTTTTCCCTTCACTTATACAATTTCAAGGAAAAACCCCTATGCATACCAAACAAATGAACAATGCACACTGCATCCAGTACATGAAGGCAGGATGGGAAGTATAGAAACCTTCATAGAATATGATGGTATTCAGTCTATGCATCATTCTGCCCTTCAGTATCTATAAAGTATCCAGCATAGGTAGCGTGTGCCA